GCTGCAGAGAGGTGCTCTCGAGAAGTCAGACATTCTAATGGGGGGCAGAGAAGGATCTCTGTGGTGATTAACAGAGAGCAGTTTTGTTTTTGAATCATTAAAGTTGACCAGCCAATTCCTGCCCCAGTTCACAACCGATTGAAAAAAAAACACATATTTTACATAGATAAAGTCTTTCGTATGTTCTGGGTTGTACTCAAGAGAACAATTTTATTATTATTATTATTATTATTATTATTATTATTATTATTATTATTTCCTTTCTGGTATGTACACATCTATTTACGGGTCCCGCCCAGATACCTAAAGTTATAAATAACATCATGACATTTTTCACTGACAAAAAAAAATGTATTTACACAGATAAAGCCCTTTGTGGTCTGTACTCGTGAGAACAATTTTTTTGTATTTTTCTAAGGCATGCACTTCCAGGAGTCTACAGTCAATTAGTCTACAGGAATCTTTTTCAACCAATCTTAGGGCTCCAACTACAACTGGGATTTTTGATGATCTTATGTGCCACATTTTTGAGATTTCGATTTCAAGGTCCTTGTATTTTGACAGGTTTTTGAAGATCTTCAAAGATACATTGCAGTCTGCAGGGACTGCTAGATCAAGAAGGAGGCACTTTTTTGTTTGCAGTCTCTAATAGCAATGTCTGGACGGTTAGCTTTGATTGATTTATTATTAATATTATTATGGTTATTATAATTATTATTTATTCAAATATAAAATTATAATAATTATAAAAATATTAAATATGATTTTAATGAATAAACTGAATTCTCATAAAACACTTAGGGATATTGTATGATTAGATGGCGGAAAAAAGGTTTTGAAGAGATGAAAAAAGGACAGGAAGTTGTAGAGAGCCATGATCGCCAACTTCCTGAAGAGACACGCGCATAGAAAATGAAGAATCTTCCCGTCAGCCACAGTTACAAGCAAATTGATCTCTATCTATAAAAGGCAGTGTGTGTGTGTGTTTTTGTGTGTGTGTGTGTGTGTGTGTGTGTGTGTGTGTGTGTGTGTGTGTGTGTGTGTGTGTAACGAATGCACGGCCGCAATTTTCGACGGATTTGCGCCAAAATTTACATGCACATGCTTCAAGTTCGAGGGAAGGCCAAGATCGACTTTGCATTTCCCAACTCCCATCGATAGTGGAAATAATCGATTTTTTCATGCTTCTACGGCAGTTTTCATGTAGCTTGCGGCCATTTTGTACTGGCCAGAGTGAGACCCTCTAACTGGCTGCCACGAATAGGCAGGAAGATTCTATTGGCCAGCGTGAGAGCCAACAGCTGACTGACACGAATGTTAACTAGCATGTTAGCATGCAAAAAAAATCGATATCTGCATTCGTGACAAGTGGGTAAAATTTAAATCTGCATGGCACTTTACTCCAATTGGCTCATTCACTTGCTTAAACTCAACGTTGATTCTGATTCCGCAGAACTGGGTTCGGTGTGAAAAAGTATTTGTTGTTAACATTCTTTTTTCATTCGGTTTTTCCAGTTACGAGTCCTTTTTTAAAGCTGATCGTTTTGTGTTCATTTTGTTTAGTTCTTTTTTCGTAACAGATTTAATGTTTAGTATAGAGCTTAGAAAAAATTCGCAGTGTGAGATAGACAAGAAGTAAGGCGTGTAGCAACATCAGCACGGAAAAGGGCACTCCTTTAAAGGCAAGGAAGGGCAAAAATATTTTAAGTCAAGAGATAGCGATTGCTGTATGAGTCGTATGATTTTTTAATCAAACACGGGCAACGCAGGGCCATGCTGCTAGTATTTGAATAAAATCAAATGAATGTACGAAAAATATTAGTATCAAGCGGGCTATTGCTTCCTTATTGTTAGTTAAGCTGCTAAGAAGGTGGGTTCACTGTTTCGGCGAGAAATTTTTTTCTCTCCAGAACCTATCTATCGAGCACCTTGACGTGGTGTAATGGTTAACAAGTTTGTCCTGCTAGATCAGATACAACTGAATAGTAAGTTCGATCTTCACTGGATTCTCCTTTGTGCCACATTTGAACCACTCTTGGAAAACCACTGTATGTATTTTAGAATGATTACCTTAAGATACAAATGCCTATGTATGGAAGTACGTAAGTGATAACTTAAATTATAGATTTTTTATTTTATTTCAGCTGAACAGAAAAACCTCTTTGTTGATACATGATTGCATCTCCATAGCTCAACATGACAAGATTTCTATCAACACTTATAACATCGATTTTTATATCTGAAAACCCGTTTCCAGCGAAATTTATATAAAATACAGATTGTTTTCAGTGAAAAGAACACTGAAATTAGTCCAATGTTTAAATAAAAAGAAAATAAGTTTCTTGAGAAAGTGATTTTCAAGAAAACTCTCCAGGCTTCAATTTCAGTTGGAGTCCTTTGTTTTGATTTTAAGTCTGTCGCCGTGAAATACTGTTTATTTTCTACTAAGGACAACAGTTCGTGTTTTTATTCTTCAAATTTATAAAAAGATAACCTCTTTATGACCGTCGGTTCGAAATTTATACGAATATTAATACGAGTGGTTTGCGTATATTTAAAATAATATTATAGTCAATCCTCTTGTGGGATCGCCAGTTGTGGATTTGGTTTGCGAGTTAGGGAAGGTTACATTAGAGTAGGTTATTTGATTTTACAGCAAGTTGAATTATGCAATGTTGAATTTCGGGTGGGGCACCTAGTGAGGATCGAACTCACAACTGGATATTAACGGTCAACCAGGCCAGCATCACGAATTATTGCCTCTACGGACACTCTGCCACTTCCAAATTTTGATGACTTTGATCAAATAATAATAACTGGACAACTTTTGAGGATTCTCTCTCTCTCTCTCTCTCTCTCTCTCTCTCTCTCTCTCTCTCTCTCTCTCTCTCTGTGTGTGTGTGTGTGTGTGTGTGTCACTCTGGCTCACATTCTTTCTCTCACTCTCAACCTCGAAATCCATCACTCTCTCCCTCCCTCTCTCTCTAACTCACTCACTCTCTCCCGCTCTCTCTTTCGAACTCACATTCTATGTCACACTCTCTCTCTCTCACCTCTCTCTCTCTCTCTCTCTCTCGTCTCGCTCTCTCCCACGGTGTCACTCTATCTCATATTCTCTCTTTCACTCTGACCCTCGAACTCTCACACTCTATCTAACACACTCACTCTCTCGAACTCACTCACTCTCTCCCTCTCTTTCTCTCTCTCTCTCTCTCTCGAACTCTATCACACACACTCTCTCTCGAATTCACTCTATCTTCCCCTCTCTCTTTCGAAATCTCATACTCTCTCAATCTCTCTCTCTCTCTCTCTCTCTCTCTCTCTCTCAATCATTCACTCTCTCTTCCTCTCAACAAAAATGTTATTGATTTATTTTTGTCTGATGAGCTTTTTCTCCCTGGTGTTCCGACTACATGAATTTAAGCGTGCTACTAGATTGACATTTAGGTCCCATCCCTTTACTGTTGAAATGGCTAAATGCAACTACCACTTGTACTTCAATAGTTTCTTATCTCGCACATCCCACCTGTGGAACTCCCTTCCGATTTCTTGCTTCCCCGATAACTACAAGTTTCGCAAACATAAATGCAACGTCAATCGCAATCTTCTATCCTCTTGTTTCCCGTTCATCTTTTGTCTTTCCTCAATCCTCTCTATTCATAGCTTTCTCTTTCACTTTCATTCCCTGTAACTCCCCTGCGTATTAGTGGCATCCCTGCCTTGCTTGGGGCGACATGATTAAAAATAAATACGTCTTATAAAACAAAATCTTTTAATTTGCTTTGATAAAGTCCCTCAGAGAACGAAACACGTTGGTTAAGTTTCATTTTCTCTTTATATATATTATCTGTTTACAGATATACTCTATTTGAAATTTTATATATATATATATATATATATATATATATATATATATATATATATTTATATATTAATTTAAAGAAAAACAGACAATTTTAAGGTTCCGTTGTTATAATTTATTTCACCAGAGATTGTCTTTTTCTCTGGATCATCAGACCTCACTTCCAAGGATGAAAAAAAGAATTTAAACTTGCACTTTTGAAGGGTAGTATTAAACTTATGTAAGATGATATAGAGATTGATGAGGCACGGAACGCTTCTCCACTTCGGTCTTCGAAGGTCTTGTTCGAATATTTGCTACTACCACCGAGATCTGCACCCGCATTCGGCTCCACCCGGGCTCGCGCCCTAGGCTTCCGTGCTCAGCGCGGCGCGCTCCTACTCGTCGCGTGCATGAGAAAACCGACCCGGACCCGGGCGCTGCGATGAACGCCGAGCCCGCCTTTGAATAAACACACACATCGGCGCACTAGTTAGCGAAATTAGAGAGGGAAGGGAGAGATAGGAATAAGAGATGGATTTAAGGTTTTGAAGTAAATATAAAGGAATATAAATTTGGAACGGGAAATTAACGTATGTGGGCATATATCGGCCTATCTGGAAAAACACAGATTTATAGATTTTTAATTTTTTTTTTTTCATTTAACTATTTAATTATTCGCTCTGACTTAACATTGAGACTTAAATCTCCGGATTTCATCCTCCTTGTGATCATCCATACGGATTACCAAGACGTTCCTTACTTAAATATATATATATATATATATATATATATATATATATATATATATATATATATATACACGCATACACATACATATATATATATATATATATATATATATATATTACGCACACACACACACACACATATATGTATTTATATATATATATATATATATACACGCGCACACATACATACACACACACATATATATATAAATATATATATATACGCACACACACGCACACACATATGTATTTATTATATATATATATATATATATATATACACGCACACACATCATACACACACATACATATATATATATATAAATGTATATATATATTACGCACACACACACACACATATGTATTTATATATATATATATATACACACGCACACACACATATATATATATATATATATATATATATATACATACACACACACATATGATATATATATATATATATATATATATATATATAGATTTATATTTATATACACACACTTTTCACACACACACATATATATATATATATATATAACCTTACCATATATATATATATATATATATACATACGAGTAGGTCTAAAAGAAATTACTGTGTCAGTCTTCTGAGGACCTGGCAATCAGCACCGCCCCCCGGTGTAATTTGCGAATATCTATGTTGATGATACAACGGTATATGGTGCGCCTCTAAAACTGCAGAATGCCAGGGATTGGCAGCTGGTCTCTCAACTGATCTAGCTCTCATATTATTGGCAGGGAGAGAAAATGGCTGGTTAAATTCAATACCCCGAAATCCAAACTAATTACATTCCATCATTGCCGATCACACCGTCAACTAACCCTCAATGTGGCCCCGTGATTTGAGAGCCTCCTAGGACTAAAACTCAACCCAGACCTCAAGTGTAACTCGTACGTACGGCTAAATATGGCGGAAAATAATCGGTTACCTGTACCTGACTCCTTGAGCTATTCCCTACAAGAGCCAGATCAGGTCGAAAATTGGGTACTGTTGCTATACAGGGTGTGATGGGTAAATTGCCGCCATTTTATATTTTTGCTCTCGCGCATGCGCGTTGTCTGCTTTTAATTTTTTTTTCTCCGCTGCACGGCGTACTACGGTTGGTTTGACACCATATCTGAGAAAAAGAGCACTATGACCAATTTACTCAGCAATTTAGAAACGGCACGCTGTACTGCTTGGCATTCGCGACGGAAGCTCCAATACGAACATTTCAAAATGTTTGGCAATCTGAGGTAAGTGCAGAGGATTCCGAAAGAGTTGGATGATCCTAATGGTGATTACGAAGGCATGACAGCTCGAAAAACTCACCCTGATTGTTCTGTAAGAAATAACTACCGAGTTTTGTTGATGAGGCACTCAGACTCAACAGGGAGGCCTACATCAAGTGCCCTGAGGATGTAATGCTGGAAGCCCCCTATGTCTGGTTGCAGGACTCTGCACTATGTAACACAAGCAGAAGAACCCAGTCATGGTTTTCAGACAATGTCTGAGACAATATCACCCCTTACATCTGGCCACCTAACTCCCGAAACTATAACCCTCTTGATTATTATGTGTGGGGATCACTTGAGTCAGAGACTAACAAAACTCATTGTAATATCAAAGATGAAGTGAGGACTAGGATTATGGCAGCTTTCACCAAGTTAAACTAGGATACAGTCTAGAAGAGTTGCAGGAGATTTCAATGTCCTCTGGAGGTTAATGGCTATTTTATTGAATAAGTTTACTCTTTAGTATTTCAAGATATTTTTGTTTAATTTTAGTAAATACTACCAGCATGGCCCGGCGTTGCCCGTGCTTGATTAAAAAATCTTACGACTCATACAGCAATCGCTATCACTTGACTTAAAATATTTTTGCCCTTCCTTACTTTTAAAGGAGTGCCCTTTGCCGTGCTGATGTTGTTACATGCCTTACTTCTTGCCTATCTCACACTGCGAATTTTTTCTAAGCTCTATACTAAACATTAAATCTGTTACGAAAAAAGAACTAAACAAAATGAACACAAAACGATCAGCTTAAAAAAAAGGACTCGTAACTGGAAAAACCAAATGAAAAAAGAATGTTAACAACAAATACTTTTTCACACACAATCCAGTTCTACGGAATCAGAATCAACGTTGAGTTTAAGCAAGCGAATGAGCCAATTGGAGTAAAGTGCCATGAAGATTTAAATTTTTCCCACTTGTGACGAATGCAGCTATATTTTTTTGCATGCTAGCATGCTAGTTAATATTCGTGTCAGTCAGCTGTTGGCTCTCACGCTGGCCAATAGAATCTTCCTGCCTATTCGTGGCAGCCAGCTATTGGCTCTCACTCTGGCCAGTACAAAATGGCCGCAAACTACATGAAAACTGCCGTAGAAGCATGAAAAAATCGATTATTCCCATTATCGATAGGAGTTGGGAAATGGGAAGTCGGTCTTGGCTTTCCCTCTAACTTGGAGCATGTGCATGTGAATTTTGGTGCAAATCCGTCGAAAATTGCGGCCGTGCATTCGTTACACACACACACACACACACACACATCCTGCCTTTTATAGATAGAGATATCTGTTCAAATGAGATGTCAGTGTTATTTTCATTTTTTCCCTCATTTAGACGACAATTTATCCATTGCACCCTGTATGTTGGCTTCCGTCTGTGTAATCGGTTCTTCATTTTTGATTGATAGATAATGAAGCGACTGATATAGATAGCTAGAGAGAGAGAGAGAGAGAGAGAGAGAGAGAATGGTGAAGAGATAGATAAAGAACAGAGATAGATAGATAGATAGATAGATAGATAGATAATGAACAGAAATATTTAACAGTCACATTCATGATTTTCTTGTTTCACTCCCCAGACAGCAACCGCCTTGAATATTACATGTGGACCGCAGTTAAGTGAGAGATTTAAAAAAAAAACTCCTTTTAACACCAAAGTTGAACTGAACGTAAGGATTATGGCAGCATTTACCAATTTAAGGAAACCGGCCAGAAGAGTTGCAGGTGATTCCGAAATCGTCTGGAGGCTGTGGTTGAAGCCAATGGCGATTTTATTGAATAATTTTACTCTTTAGTATTTCAAGTTATTTTTTGTGTAATTTTGGTAAATATATATGTTAAAACGAGTTTTATTTTCATTTTAGCGTAATTTAGACGACAATTTATCCATCGCAGCCTGTATTTGCCTTAAATCCATCATGTCGGTCAAGAGCGTGGCTGCTGGATGACCCTAAGTCTGGCAACATGATTTTACACCATGCCACACAAGCAGGATAACCCAATCATGGCTTTCAGACAATTTCTGCGACCACATCACCCATTACATTTGGTCACCTAACCCTCGACACTGTAACCCTCTTGATTATTATGTGTGGGGTGCACTTGAGTGAGAGACCAACAAAACTCATTGAAACACCAAGGATGAACTGAACATAAGGATTAAGGTACCATTCACCAACTTAAACAAGGAGACCATCCAGAAGAGTTGCAGGAGATTCCAATGAAGCCAATGGCGATTTTAGTGAATAAATTGACTCTTTACTATTTCAAGATATTTTTGGGCAATTTTGGCAAAAACAAAATAACACTGATATCTAATATTAACAGATATATATCTGTTAAAATTAGATATCAGTGTTATTTTGTTTTTTACGACATTTAGGAAAAAAAAATGTGTGCAATTTATTCATCGTACCCAGTATATGGGCAGGATCCACTCAGACTTCACATTCCAGTCTCGATAGAGTCCAAAAGTGTCTCCGCGTCATTGTGGGTGATGGATTATTTTCCACCCTACAACCCCTTCCCCACAGACGATACGTCGCAAGCCTCTCGATTTTCTGTTGCTATTTCAATAGAAAGTATTAAATCAAACTATATTCCTTGATTCCACCAGTTCTAACCATGCCACGCCCATTGTAGTGAACCACCCTTATTCCCTCCGTATTCCACTGGTGAGATGTAAGTTTTACTCGATCAGCCTCTTTCCGCTAGCCGCTGATCTGTAGGACTCAAGATGGTGTATTCCCGATCACTACGATCTTAACTTGTTTAAATCTTACGATTAATCGTTATCTTCCCCATATGTCCACATAAACTGTGTAGAACCCCGTTAAAAATTCTAGAAAATAAATTCAATAGATTTAAATCGTATCACTAATTCTGTGCAAAAGTATGATCGCAAACTTCACCTCAATATTGTGCAAAAATAAACTCACACGAACTTCAAATTCAAATTCTCACATCAGCATTTTTTAACCGATCAGCGACCTCATTTCAAACACCAAACACCCAAGCCTTCAAAAAGCAGACAACATTTCTGATCGTCTGCTACAAAAATTGAAGAGACGCAACCAGAAAATAATTAAGAACTTTTTCTCTCCTAAAAATCGAAATTAAAAATTGGGAAATATATTTATTAAGCAATAAAACTTTTGATTTTAGTAAATCTAAATTTTAACTTCCTCAGACGCATTAGTGTGAATGAATGTAAGAAAAAGAAACTCATTATTGAGAAAGAACAATAAAAGAACAGAAATTAAAAAGATAACGATTGACATTGCATTTCAATTTTTGAAGCTCAAATCAAGAGGCCGGATGTGAGTTCTATAAGGAAGGAGTGAGAGAGAAGAAAATGTTAACATAGAACTTGCGGTTACATCTAGCCATTTTCAAATTTAGAAGTGTTTTAAATATTTGTATATACGT